TAATTTTCTTACAGTGCCACCAAGAGAAAAATGAATACTTTTCATCTTTAGCTGCTATGAAATTTTGAAGGAGAATTCGAACCTTTGAGGAATAGTCATCATGATGTGAAAAATCAGTTCCAAAAATATCTTGATATCGACTGAATTAAGATTTAAATGTAACATTCGTATTTGTATCAAGAATTCATTAATTGATCCTAGTAACTCGGATACCTGTGCTGAATTCTTTTGAATCTAAAAAATTTTAGCCATCAACTTAATCGATTTTAATTATGGTGCTTGAAACTTCTTCTGCTACTACTACTGTAAAATACGTTTGAGGTACTCTGGTGAAACTCTTGAGTGCTGCTAGAGATATGAGGACGGTTATCACTTCCCGGTTGCCCACACTGTGGAAGGGTCCTCCTGGAAGTAACTTAAAATGAAATTGGGTTAGAGTGTCATAGTGACCTGAGAGCGCAACCGCAGTGCCCGACGGACAACTGCTTGAGGTCGGTCACACACGACCTTTTTATGAGTAGTTTTTGTGTTAGCTCCGTATTTGTTGAGACCTCACCGCCAGAGACGGATATCCATGGGATAAGGTGAGGTGTGCATTTTTAGGGTCGACCTTTTCTAACCCCATCCCCACTTATGGGGAGGCAGCATCGCTGTCATGCTGGTTGTCTGAAGGAAACACTTTACTGCTATCACACCTCTGTACAGTCAGCAGTACGACTTTGCGTTCGTACCTTGAGTTTGTTGCTTTTAGTCTTACCGCTCTTCAACCGACCTGTCTGGCATGGTAGAACCTTGAGGAACGGTTGTTCCAGCCAGTGTAGCTCAGTTGATTCACAACGATAGGCAAGCCCGACCACCACGTCAAGGTAGCAACAACGGTCGGGTCAGGTGAAACTGATATTATTGAATTTATTTCCACGCGTTGAGCTGGAAGTTCATCGAAAGAAAACTGTTGTAATGTAAGATACTAATATGTAGTCTTTATGTTTACAAGCTCAACTGGTTACTTAAGTGAATAGATTGAGATTGAGAATGGAAGTTTATTGGCTTAACTGCTTTGACATGTATGTTTACACATATATACATATCGCTCATAAAACTAAACCATTAATAGTATCTAATCCTTTTGAAATTAAAGTCATTTCTTGTCCCACTACAAAAAACTTATCATCTGGCTGATTGGTACAAAGTATCAATATATGGTTAGGTCTTATGATTAAGAAATTAAATTCAAAGCAATTTAGTAACCAAGTTCAAATCTGAAAATTTGGTTTTAATTTATTTTTAGTATTTTAAGGATAGAGATACTTGCAATCTATGTAAGACGGAAGTAAATCTAACACAGTCTAAAGCTTTTACACAAGAACCAAAGTCAAGGTCATACAACCTGTGTGTAAACATACTTAACCTATATTTATCGATCTATTATCAATACATAATCGACGGTTATCACTTCCCGGTTGCTCACACTGTGGAAGGGTCCTCCTGGAAGTAACTTAAAATGAAATTGGGTTAGAGTGTCATAGTGACCTGAGAGCGCAACCGCAGTGCCCAAGGAATAGCTGCCTGAGCTCGGTCACACACGACCTTTTTATGAGTAGTTTTTGTGTTAGCTCCGTATTTGTTGAGACCTCACCGCCAGAGACGGATATCCATGGGATAAGGTGAGGTGTGCATTTTTAGGGTCGACCTTTTCTAACCCCATCCCCACTTATGGGGAGGCAGCATCGCTGTCATGCTGGTTGTCTGAAGGAAACACTTTACTGCTATCACACCTCTGTACAGTCAGCAGTACGACTTTGCGTTCGTACCTTGAGTTTGTTGCTTTTAGTCTTACCGCTCTTCAACCGACCTGTCTAGCATGGTAGAACCTTGAGGAACGGTTGTTCCAGCCAGTGTAGCTCAGTTGATTCACAACGATAGGCAAGCCCGACCACCACGTCAAGGTAGCAACAACGGTCGGGTCAGGTGAAACTGATATTATTGAATTTATTTCCACGCGTTGAGCTGGAAGTTCATCGAAAGAAAACTGTTGTAATGTAAGATACTAATATGTAGTCTTTATGTTTACAAGCTCAACTGGTTACTTAAGTGAATAGATTGAGATTGAGAATGGAAGTTTATTGGCTTAACTGCTTTGACATGTATGTTTACACATATATACATATCGCTCATAAAACTAAACCATTAATAGTATTTAATCCTTTTGAAATTAAAGTCATTTCTTGTCCCACTACAAAAAACTTATCATCTGGCTGATTGGTACAAAGTATCAATATATGGTTAGGTCTTTTGATTAAGAAATTAAATTCAAAGCAATTTAGTAACCAAGTTCAAATCTGAAAATTTGGTTTTAATTTATTTTTAGTATTTTAAGGATAGAGATACTTGCAATCTATGTAAGACGGAAGTAAATCTAACACAGTCTAAAGCTTTTACACAAGAACCAAAGTCAAGGTCATACAACCTGTGTGTAAACATACTTAACCTATATTTATCGATCTATTATCAATACATAATCGATCAACTGTTATGAAGAAGTTCACCACATAACAATTGTTCTCAATTCATTCCTAATGCACAATTGGTAAACATGTATGCCTTTGATACAGGTATGAAGCAGTGGCATATTATTTAAAGCATTGAACCCTAAAGCAAAAAATTGACAGTCCGAATAGCTCTCAACCGGGTAGTGTCACTAGCTCTTAAAAAAAAGTGTATTTCAGGGTAACTGCTAGATAAGGTACAGAATGACAAGGTCGCTTAACGTCACTGATTGGTCGTCTAGTTCTTTATTGGTTACTGATTTTTGATTTTAATGGTATGAGATGACAAAATTGTTCTCTGAATGTTTAAAATTGTTGGAAGCATAATTCCAGAATGGCAGACTCTGTCTACACAATAACTAAAATTCTAATAATAATACTTATTTAATCGTATATTTCAGTACTGAAGCGGAGAGCCTACTTTGATGCAGTGGTCGACCGTAACTATCGCAACAACATAATCAAACTACAATGGTCTTGGCTCTTGTTCCTTAGGGTCCTCTACCATGTTAAATAAGTAAGCCGGGCAATGCCAATACCAAAAGCAGCACACTTCAAGTGGGAAGATAAAAAAGTACTATCGACCGTACGTTATTGTGATTATAGTACGATATTTCCGATGGATAAACAGCACCTCAAGGAATGTTGTCATCCCATAAAACAAATAAGATTTTAAAGAAGTTGGCCTTAAAAATAACGTCCGGCGGAGTTCCTGTGCAACTGCTTAGATCTGAATAACACGTACAAAACTATGCACAAAAAGACCATCCGTGATTGGAACTAAACAGTGGTCTTGAGTGCTGTTAGAGATATGAGGGCGGTTATCACTTCCCGGTCGACCACATAACATAAGCGTTCTTATGGAGGTGCCCGAAAAGAAAATTGGATTAGAGGGGGTCTTAGGAACCAGAGAGCGCGACCGCAGTGCCCGACGGACAACTGCCTGAGGTCGGTCACACACGACCTTTTTATGAGTAGTTTTTGTGTTAGCTCCGTACTTGTTGAGACCTCACCTCCAGAGACGGATATCCATGGGGTAAGGTGAGGTGTGCATTTTTAGGGTCAACCTTTTCTAACCCCACCCCCACTTATGGGGAGGCAGCATCGCTGTCATACTGGTTGTCTGAAGGAAACACCTTACTGCTGTCACACCTCTGTACAGTCAGCAGTACGACTTTGCGTTCGTACCTTGAGTTTGTTGCTTTTAGTCTTACCGCTCTTCAACCGACCTGTCTGGCATGGTAGGACCTTGAGGAACGGTTGTTCCAGCCAGTGTAGCTCAGTTGCTTCACCACGATAGGCAAGCCCAACCACCACTTCAAGGTAGCAACAACAAACTCTTGGCCTTTGCGGCCACGTTCTTATATGTTTAAGATCACGGCTACCCCAGATTTATTTTCAAGTCGCTGAAGAAGAAAATTCCTTTAACTATACACACATACCTCTAACAACAATCAAGTAGATTGTGTACAGAATGAAAGTCCATATTTATTCCAAAGTGCATCCTCTGTTCCTATTATCATCTCCTTTTTCACTGGTTACATATATTCTTTTACGTACAACTAGTGCTAATTATTCTATCCTTGGTTATTATTATTATTTTATTTTTTTATTTTAACACATAGGTATTGGTACAAGGAGGCACCAAATACATATGCGTCACACGAATCTCAATTGATTTGTGTGAGGGCTGTGATACTAGCCGGGTGCCCAAACCGAAACAAGTGGTTTTCTTGGGGGGCAACATTCCGAGCCTTCGACCTGAAGATCTGATCCACAAGGCAATGGAGCATCGTAAGGAGATGCAGTCCCATGGTAGCCGGTGACCAACGATTGGTTCATACGCCATTTGTTCCTTCAGGATACTGGAGCCCATGTGCACCATAGAATTGGGATCCGGTTAAAGCGGGTGCCGGACATTCGCTTTTCGTCCTCTCATTTTCGTAAACAACACCCCCGCCACGAGAAGGCAGTGAGTAGGACTTTCCCTGGCAGAGGCTGTATACGCATGGCCACGTGAGAGTATTTCGAGAGGGAGAGCGGACTCTCCACACTCTCGGCCGTACCAGGGCATTTAGTAGTCCAAAATTACACTACAAAATACATCTTAGAGCTTCAAATATTTAAATGGTATGCCAAAATGTTTCAAGATACTATCAGCTTTTTAATGAAGAAAGAAAATTTTAGATAAAAATCCTGACTGAAACCGATATCAAGGATATGGCAAAAATGTTTATAAGTTGATTTGATCGAAACATATCAAAATGTAATATTGTCGTTCTTATGAAAACCTGTTGACTATACTCAGAAAAGTATTTGATCCATTTTACATGAAATCTGATATAAAATGATTTGAGTATAGTAAGTTTCTACAGATATTATGAATGAAAATGTTTTCATGAACTTTAAAAGTATTGAAAAACAAACAAACAAACAAACAAACAAATAACTTACGATCCAGATAATACAGTTAAATTTTCTGGAAATACTGGTTCATATACAACAACTACTAATACTTTTGCTATAATTTGATTATGATCATTTATTTTAATATTATCTGATATAGGTAAATGTATTAATCCACATGCAATTTGATATGTAACTTCTTCTGTAACATGATTCTTGAATTCACTTTTTTGTTGAAGTCTATACAATTCATGAAAAAAAAACAAAAAAAAAACGGAAAACTATACAACAACAACAAAAAAAGTCAGATAAAGAATGAGATTATTACTTGATAACCAAAATGTTAAATTGAATTATTCATATGAAATGAAATGAAACTACATAGAGTACTTTAACATTAATAGTTTCTTTATTAATATTTCAGATATTGTTGATCAATCAAAATCAAGACTAATTATCTTATCTTATTATATTATAATGACTATGTAAATAAAGAAAGAACAAATCACTTTTAACTACCAGAGTAAAAGTTCTATTCTTGTTTATTTGGTGAATATATGTCATCAAATAGAGTTGAATAAAGTTTTTTAAAGGTTATCCATCATAATCCATGAAATTTATTATAAAGTTTACAAGTGCATCTTTTGCACATTGTTGAAGTCATTGCATCTAAAAGAAGTTTATACAACCACTTTCGCTATCTTGGCCATCGGTATAAGGGAGTTTGTAATAGAACTTTGATAAACTATTTTTGTATCTCATCCATTTTTTTTGTTGGTATTTTGATTGAGATCATAAACCGGCTGATGTTAGACCGAAGTTGAAAACCTGGAAGCACTGGACGGCCGTTTCAGCCTAGTAGAGGACTCCACAATAGTGCGCATTCATGATCACACTCGCGGGATTTTTATACTTATACACAATATTCATCTCTTGATTCTTACATAACTACTTACGAATCATTTATCAAAATATTTTGTTAGTTCCTTTTTCAGTTTCCTTTTATATATATATTATGCAACATAGCAACTACTTAATTTTCGAATAATTACTTTGATTATTATTAATGCTGTTTCTTCCAATTACTCAATGTTAATTTATAATCGATATGTCATTATATAATCATTACATAACGTATCTACTCGATTTATTCTTTCATTATTTACCAAATGTCAAAATGGATATGTTGACGACTACGTAAATATTGAATATATTCCAGAAAATCAATGCATAATTAAATGAAACAATAAAAGTGGTTTATTACAAATGGAACAGTAAAGTAGAATTAACATTAAAACATCAATATTATTACTATGATTCTATAAATCCTATTGCATAATTATTGGTTACCAGAAGAGATAATATTGATATGGATAAGTCATTGATAACAGACTATAGTTTAAGTTTCATAATCAAAAACTAACAAATATTTGAGGACTCGAAATTTTCGACTGTTTAATAGTTTTTTGTAATATATTGATTAATGACTATAGTACTAATTCAAATGATTTATAACGAGATCTAGTGAAATGATATGCTTTTAGTCATGCTCAAAATCCTTTGCAATAGCTCAGGTACATCCACTCTTTGTGTTCTGCCAAATTATAATCTTCTAATTTTTTATGTTCTTTTTTTCTCTTCACTGGATTATACTTATTGAATGTGGTATGGCAACTCGAACGGATGTACGTACGTACGTACGTACGAAGTTCTATGTTGTTACTGACTGGTTGACAGTCATACTACTTTTATGTAAAATAAAAATGATATCTAGATACTATAATCGAAAAAGATACAGTAAGGCTGGAGAATGAGATTCAATAGCGAATAAACTATTTCGTGACTACCACTACTACATACGTATACATATATGTATATATATCTAAAACCACGAGTAAGAGAAACTTTTTAAAGTACTTTGCGTTAAGAATCCTATCTTGTATTAAATATGTGATAATCGATAAGTCAATCATTCAACAACGTAGAACTTTGTACGTACGTAGGTACGTACATCAGTTCGAGTTGCCATACCACATTAGCACAACGATACAATTGTCTATTCAAATCCTGTGGTGATAGAGGTAGTTAAATTATAAGCAGTAATCGGAAACATTAGGGTTTGAAGATGTTACTAATCGAGTACAATCCAGTGAAATAAATTTGGAAAGAAAAAAAAAATAAGGACATGAAAAATTAGAAGATTAGAATTTGGTAGAACACAAAGAGTGGATGTAACTGAGTTTTGCAAACGATTTTGAACCATGTGTCATTCAAGGTCTCTAACCATCGGTTGCTATCATCTCGCGGTCCCCAACCACGTAGTCTACACCTACCAACATAACTCAGTTCACTTGTCAGTGACTTTGTAGATTTGTGCCATGTTTTGGTCTGGTCGCTCCTAGTTTTCTTCCAACCTACTGCTACATCATAAAACATCACACATAGGGGTAGTCCGTGGTTGGGCATACGTAACACGTGTCCCAGCCATCTCAACTGATGAAGTTTAATTACTTCACCAATTGATTTTTCATCCTTACCTAATACCTGTTTACCAACAACTGCATTACTTACTCGGTGGTCCCAGGATATACGAACAATGCTTTGAAGACATCTACGTTCGAATACTTGTAACCTGCGAATAACATGAGGTACTGAATAAAGTGACTATTACTACCACTATTATTATTATTATTATTATTATTATTATTATTATTATTATTATTATTACAGAAGCATAATGACGGGAAATAGAAACCTTCTGATGCAGGTACCCTACGCGAAAGTTAATGAACTACACGAATAAACTATGACAATGTTACCACAGGTTGATTAATGTATGTTCAATTAAAGTTTGATATTATTTCGCATTCTGTTAAACTTACTCATTAATATAAATGTAATAACATATTTTATGCAACCTATTTACAATCGATGAAAATAAATATGAATCACAGATAACTAGCACTTACCGAATAAAACGTAAGGAAACAAGTTCTGTCCAATTCCTTAGGTTACCTTTATCAATTTTGACAGTGTTATCCCAGTCCTTAAAAGAACAAACATAGAAATATTCCTAACAGATAACAAACAATTAACGTGTACAATTAAGGAATCAGTTATGCTATTACAAAATACCTGGAATGTAACCATTTGAAATTAAAAATAGAAATCTTATAAAGAATGTTACATTATCGAAGCTTTCAGACTAGGATGGTGAATCTGAAACATTAAGCAAAACGCCAAATTCATTGCAATTTTGCATTGCTACCTTTCATATAAAAACTACTGTTACGTCAAGGATAGTCTGGAAAATCACGAAGATGTAAAAACAAACAACCCTTTGGGATATTAATTCTCCTTGCTTAGTATGACATCTTTATATTTTTGGTTATTTTCTCTTCTTGTACTGCTATAAAATGATGGATTATTATTATTGTTATTATTATTATTATTTGAACACATGAATATTGGTACAAGGAGGTACCAAATAGATATGCGCCACACAAATTTTCATTTTATTTGTGTGTGGGCTGTGATACTACTCGAGTGCCCAGACCGAAGTAGGTAGTTTTCTTAGGAAGTCAGACCCCGAGCCTTTGACCTAAAGGTCTAACTCACAAGGCAGTAGAGAATCGTGAGGAGATGCAGTCCCATGATAGCCGGTGACAAACGGCTGGTTCATACGCCATTTGTTCCCTCAGGATACTGGAGCCCATGTGCACCATTGGTTTGGGATCCGGTTATAGCGCAGAACATTAGGACATTGATGGATGAGGTTTTCTGTTCCCATATTTGTCTACGTTTATAAACCTGGTGCCTTAGAGAGTTACTAGTTGACAACAAGAATATAAAAATAATCACCATTAACTACCTTTGTCTCATTATTTGAATTATATTTTTGCATTACTAACTTGTTTATGGGAGACAGCTGATCATCAACATTCGAAATTCTTGTTTCCACAAACATGTATGTGCAGAATTTTGTGACTAAAGTAATGGTAGACTAAATAGGCCACATGTATATGTGCAACATTCATAGAACCAGAGAAATGACCAGACTCTTTTCAACTAGATTCACATGAGAACTGAGTTGTGTTTATTGAAATAAGGTAAAATAAAGCTTAGCTTATGCTAAGTTAGATATATTTAAAATCAAACAGTAAAGCAACGGTTGGTATTTACTTTTCTTATTAGTCAACTACAACCTCTTTACAAACTTGTACGATAGTGCTCTTCAAAGCTCACAGAGAAAACCTAATCTGTGTATCACAAAAGAGTCTTTAAATGAAAATCTGTTTAGCTAATGTGATTCTAAAGAGAAAGATTTCGGGTCCATTTAGAAGACCATTGCAGATATTAACAGTCGGAACATTATTTAATAGTTCATTATTCTTAAGCAAAATAAACAATAAGCTCTTAAATCTGATTAATTTTATGTGTATAAACCACCATATCATTCAACATGGAATCAGTGATATGTAGTTTAGTGTCATAAAAACACCTTGAGAAAATACTAAACGAAGTATATTGGGATAAGGATATAAACATCATAAGACCTGACACAACCATATATCTGTTCAAAATGCTAAACAGCACACCTACGTATTTGAGGAATCAACATGACACAGTAATGCAACAACGGGATGAATGTAACAAGATAGCAGAATATTCGGAACTCAAAACAGGATCAACTAGAAGTATCTGCGAAAGGTATTTATTTTGAATCGTACCACATAGTTTTCAACCACTTATTTGAATTGCCTTGTGAAAACTACCTAAAAGATCTATCTAATTTTACAAAACTCGTATCAAGTCAAAGACATGATTGGTGCTGTCAAGATATGAATATCCTGGAACATTCCCCTGTATACTTCTTCATCAGTAAGCATGAAATGTTGATGTAATTTCTGGTTTCGCACGTGGAATAAATTTTCAAACTCTGATATATGAAGAGTAAAAAAGCGACGACAACATTCTGCTGCCATACTTAACTTCTTACCACTAACACACATATACTAAAACACAAATGTATCATACAACAAAAAATAGGACTAACCATAGGATTGTAGACACGAAATGTTTGAATCAGAAGGCTTGGATAGCGACGATGAGCGTACACCGTTGTACCTGAAGATACACATAGTTCATTCTGGAACAACCAATCACATAAAAAGATACTTATGTTGGATAATGTAGATAAAGCGACACACGATAATGATATATATATATATATATATATATATATATATATATATATATATATATATATATATATATGGTGATATAGGGAAACCTTCCCTGGTCCTACTGCTGACTTTAAATGACGGAGACAGGTGATTTCGGGTTCTTACACTAATGTATTTTTGTAAAAAGCCTTCAAAATGTTAAACTTCTCACGGTCACTCTTTCTCAGTATACAAGCCCAAGACATAGTCCCATTTAACGAATTGGAGAGTCCGAAATACAGAACGATAAAGCGATGGTTGAAATCCAATGACTACAGCGATGCTTCATCATTCGTCGAAGGATGAAGTTATGACCAATCTATTCATAAACTGAACAGAAACTGGCCTTCCTCACACGAATTATTCTGCCACAATCTGTTCATAATTTATGTAGTATGAAGTTGACGGCTTGGAAGTAGCATAGAACAGACTTACACTTCAATATTGTTGTATAAATTGCTTCGTCTCAAGACGATGGAACAATCAGTTTGCCAAATATTTTAGCCTCCATCTCTGGAAAGAGACGACAGTGAGTCATCTGAATCCAGTGATGCCTCAGAGGTCTTGAGTGCTGTTAGAGGTATGAAGGCGGTTTTCACTTCCCGGTTGCCCACACCATAGAAGGGTTCTTGTAGAAGTAGCCTTTAGGTCGAAGGTTCCATGTATAGCCCCCCTAAGAAAACCGCCTGCTTTGGTCTGAGGACCTGAACAGTATCACAGCTCACATACAAATCAAGTGAGTTGTGTGGTGCACATGTATTTGGTGCCTCCTTGTTTAATTAATTAATTTAATTCAATTTAACACATAGGTATTGGTACAAGGAGGCACCAAATACATATGCGCCACACGAATCTCAATTGATTTGTGTGAGGGCTGTGATACTAGCCGGGTGCCCAAACCGAAACAAGTGGTTTTCTTGGGGGGCAACATTCCGAGCCTTCGACCTGAACGTCTGACCCACAAGGCAGTGGAGCATCGTGAGGAGATGCAATTCCATGGTAGCCGGTGACCAACGATTGGTTCATACGCCATTTGTTCCTTGAGGATACTGGGGCCCATGTGCACCATTGGTTTTGGGTCCGGTTAAGGCACCAGACATTCGCTTTTCGTCCTCTCATTTTCGTAAACAACACCCCCGCCACGAGAAGGCAGTGAGTAGGACTTCCCTGGCAGAGGCTGTATACGCATGGCCACGTGAGAGTATTTCGAGAGGGAGAGCGGACTCTCCCCACTCTCGGCCGTACCAGGGCATTTGGGGGCAACATTTGTGTTCAAATAATAGAATTTAGATTACGTTAACTAAGTTAGGAGCGTACATTCGAAATTGAAGTAAAAGTCTACATGATTCAGGACACAGTATTCTATTTGCTAGGCTTACACTAGATTTTACTTAAGTATATTAGATTCCTGGTCTACTTTACAAATATGGAACGGGTTAAAAGCATGATTTAACGTTCGTCAGTCGATATCAACAGATAATTAAAGTGATAATCAAAGAAATCCTACGTAAAGACAATCTTTAAGGGTTCAAATAACTGAAGTACTAGTTTTGGAACTAAACATAAATTATGAAATCATCGCGAGCTGCTCGAGGTACGTCTAGTTGACAGATGTGATCGAAAATAAGTGCGTCACATGAGAACATTTACAAAATTTGAACTAAAAACAATAAAAGCGATAAGGTGAGCATCTGTGAAGTACGCAAATAAGTGTGCCATACAGTGTAACCGACTGCAGTATTTTGCTCACCAACAACTTGAGTCTAATATTTCAGATTTTTCTATACAATGAATGTCTGAATTAGAGTTTAACTAAGAAAATTAACAGATTAGTTGCACTTGACCCAATCGACACAAACGGTTTAAACATTTGAGTGATGTACTTCTACTCTAGCCAGATACGTAGCAACATTGTTTATTACTTAGTTCAGGATTACCATATGTTAAGTATGCCTATACACTTATATTGAATTATTTCATTTAAAGAAATTAGTTGGACTCGTGCTTCGAAAGAAGTATTTCTAGGACTACTGAGGACTACAGCGATGCTTCATCATTCGTCGAAGGATGAAGATATGACCAATCTATCCATAAACTGAACAGAAACTGGCCTTCCTCACACGAATTATTCTGCACAAGCTGTTCATAATTTATGTAGTATGAAATTGACGGCTTGGAAGTAGCATAGAACAGACTTACACTTCAATATTGTTGTATAAATTGCTTCGTCTCAAGACGATGGAACAATCAGTTTGCCAAATATTTTAGCCTCCATCTCTGGAAAGAGACCACAGTGAGTCATCTGAATCCAGTGATGCCTCAGAGGTCTTGAGTGCTGTTAGAGGTATGAAGGCGGTTTTCACTTCCCGGTTGCCCACACCATAGAAGGGTTCTTGTAGAAGTAGCCTTTAGGTCGAAGGTTCCATGTATAGCCCCCCTAAGAAAACCGCCTGCTTTGGTCTGAGGACCTGAACAGTATCACAGCTCACATACAAATCAAGTGAGTTGTGTGGTGCACATGTATTTGGTGCCTCCTTGTTTAATTAATTAATTTAATTCAATTTAACACATAGGTATTGGTACAAGGAGGCACCAAATACATATGCGCCACACGAATCTCAATTGATTTGTGTGAGGGCTGTGATACTAGCCGGGTGCCCAAACCGAAACAAGTGGTTTTCTTGGGGGGCAACATTCCGAGCCTTCGACCTGAACGTCTGACCCACAAGGCAGTGGAGCATCGTGAGGAGATGCAATTCCATGGTAGCCGGTGACCAACGATTGGTTCATACGCCATTTGTTCCTTGAGGATACTGGGGCCCATGTGCACCATTGGTTTTGGGTCCGGTTAAGGCACCAGACATTCGCTTTTCGTCCTCTCATTTTCGTAAACAACACCCCCGCCACGAGAAGGCAGTGAGTAGGACTTCCCTGGCAGAGGCTGTATACGCATGGCCACGTGAGAGTATTTCGAGAGGGAGAGCGGACTCTCCCCACTCTCGGCCGTACCAGGGCATTTGGGGGCAACATTTGTGTTCAAATAATAGAATTTAGATTACGTTAACTAAGTTAGGAGCGTACATTCGAAATTGAAGTAAAAGTCTACATGATTCAGGACACAGTATTTTATTTGCTAGGCTTACACTAGATTTTACTTAAGTATATTAGATTCCTGGTCTACTTTACAAATATAGAACGGGTTAAAAGCATGATTTAACGTACGTCAGTCGATATCTACAGATAATTAAAGTGATAATCAAAGAAATCCTACGTAAAGACAATCTTTAAGGGTTCAAATAACTGAAGTACTAGTTTTGGAACTAAACATAAATTATGAAATCATCGCGAGCTGCTCGAGGTACGTCTAGTTGACAGATGTGATCGAAAATAAGTGCGTCACATGAGAACATTTACAAAATTTGAACTAAAAACAATAACAGCGATAAGGTGAGCATCTGTGAAGTACGCAAATAAGTGTGCCATACAGTGTAACCGACTGCAGTATTTTGCTCACCAACAACTTGAGTCTAATATTTCAGATTTTTCTATACAATGAATGTCTGAATTAGAGTTTAACTAGGAAAATTAACAGATTAGTTGCACTTGACCCAATCGACACAAACGGTTTAAACATTTGAGTGATGTACTTCTACTCTAGCCAGATACGTAGCAACATTGTTTATTACTTAGTTCAGGATTACTATATGTTAAGTATGCCTATACACTTATATTGAATTATTTCATTTAAAGAAATTAGTTGGACTCGTGCTTCGAAAGAAGTATTTCTAGGACTACTGAGGACATAGTCTAGTTTCTCTGCGAGTTCGAGCAGAAAACTGACACTTTCACATACCTATAAACTGGAGTTAAAGTTGATTTTAGTGGTTTGTGACGCACAGTGTACTAAGGGACTTATTAAGAATGAATCCTTATGTCTATCAACAGTGATGGATATACCCATTGATTCACCAGCTTGATAATGACAGTATACGCTAGTATTGAAGACAGTTTCCAACCTTACCCAAAGTATAAAAGTAAACTCCCGTAACCATCTAAATGGCACTAAAACCTCAGAAAACAAGTGTATTGCTTCTGGCACATTATTCACTATTCTTAGTTTCTTAGAATATCATACAATTACGGTGTTCTTAACCATGATTAGTAGACCTAGTCAATAAGTTCAATTGCATTGTGTAAAGCATCAAGCCTTTATTCTGCGATTTTATGGATTCTGGTGTTGGTTAGCCGGATGGTTGTTGTGAAATTAAAACAAATACAAATCAACAGATCAAAATAAAATCTGAGGGCGATTTACTAACCTATCCTCTGTGTAATGTTGCTAAGATATTTCTAACTATTTTGACACAAAAAACACAACCATTGGCCTGGAATGTGTAGGGGCACATTAAAACGGGGGGTGAACATATAATAAGAACACCCATCACCTGATGGAAAAACAGCCTGCTTCTAAAGAATCAGTATTTCATGAGTTTTGGGCAACGTATGGCAAAAGCCAATAGTTTGGGCGTAATCAAAAGTAGACTTATAACCTTGTAGTTTTTGTATAGATTACGTACAACTTTCCTAAAGGTGAAAACGATAATCGTTTAATTCCAGAGTGTTGGAACACTGTCTCCAAAACAATTCAGTCATTTGCCTAACCGAAAGTTCGTCACCATACTCATGAAGATCATGGGTTAGGTCATCACGGCCAGGAAACTTGTGAGTTTCTAAAAGTTCGGGTTCATTGTCGGTCCCTGATTTGTTAGAGGGATCTGCTGTCAGGGGAAAGGACCGACGTTGGTGAGGCAAAATACCAGTTGTGACGACTCTCGTTAGGACTCCGGGACAGTTTTTGACGAAAGGAAACAAAAGTAAAGCAATTAACCAAGTTTAAGATACTTCAGTTGAAGAACATATGGAAGTCAAAACAACTGTCTGCAAGCCGACATCAAAGTCAGAATCTTCAATACGAACGTCAGGACAGTTCTACTGTATGAAACTGAAAGTTGGAGAACTACGAACATCATCAAAAAATTACAGGACTTTACAAACAGTTGTCTACGAAAAATATTCAATGTCCGTTGATCGGATGCGATCAGCAACAACCTACTGTGGGAGACAACAAAACAGCTTCCAGCTGAAGAGGAAATTTGGAAAAGACGTTGGGATTGGATAGGACATACATTGAGAAAACCATCAAATTACATCACGAGACAAGCGCAAACTTGGAATCCTGAAGTGAGACGGAAAAGAGGAGGACCAAAGAACACACTCCGTCGAGAATCGGAAGTTATCAAAGGGATGAATAGCAACTGGAGACAAATAGGAAGGATTGTCCAGGACAGAGTTGGATGGATAATGATGGTGGATGGCCTGTGCTTCTTCATGAGGGGTAACAGGCGTAAGTAAGTATGATACTTTTTAACACAAATATTTGATCATAATAACTCCGTCAAGCCTCTGAGTGACCAAGTTCACTGATATACCAAAAACCACCGATGCTGGGAATAGAAGACACAGTGTTTTCGGCTTTCTTAGATCGGTCATCAACTTCTATATTACTGGACAAAATACGTATTTATTAATAATGATGACAAAAAGAAATCACATGAAACACGATTTCATATAAGTTGGTGAACTGCGTGTTTGTAAGATATAAGCAATATGATCTACAATATCAGATTTCTCTAAAACACATAAATCGAAGGCAAATTACAGAAAAACTGCAAGCTCGTTTTCAATATAAGTAGTCAGGAATCTACAGTCTTTTATTTGATGCGATCCAACAGGATCATGGTAAATATCAGTAACTAATCACTGAGATAAGAACTACGATAGGATTAATAAGTTCAACTAGTGTAAGCAGTTCACTGGTGTTCAAAATTTAGACAACCCTTTATATAATCCTGAAGTTCTATTTGCACTTATAACCTTGATACTTTAGTATTGTGGTCATTTCATAGGCTCTTGCAAGGTTCCATTACTTAAACAGATGAAGTACATTTTCGGGTCAGTAGGAAAATTCAGTTTAGCTCGCTAGAACAGTATGTCAATTAATAATACTCAGTCTCAGGAAATCATATATTACATTTTCCTGAACTTTTAATAAGGGGTCCCGGTAATGGGAAATTGAATGGCTACATAGTCAATCTAAACATTTCAAATGAATTTCAGGTTTAGGTCAGCTTAGTTGTCAAAATAGGTATTCCTCAAATTATGTATAATGACCCGAAAATTCTAAACAACAATTATTGTACAAAAATACACCTTTATTCCTTCACCTACCACATGCTTGAAACAGCTCATTTTATGCATCAATCCGTCCCGGATATCCAGTAGTAGTGCTTCTGAGACATACTAAAATACTTTTAATAAGAACATACTGAAATTAACATATCCATGAACATCTAGTGTGATCAGTGCAGGTATCTTGGTGCTTTGAGATAAAAACCCGTTGTTGTGAATCAATATGTTATGTTCTTGAAAGGAACAACCAATGAAACCATTTCCTATGTCAGGATTAGTAAAAAGGGTTAGCAACGAACCCGTAAATGTAAGAAGACTGTTCTGTGTGTTTTCCGGCTGAATTATAAATGCGTCTAGATCCTTTAATTTTTTTGCAAATGGTTTAAGGCGATCTGCGACACACTCGTGAGGTTCGTCTAATTACAATTAGGTTTGACTTAATATGTAATTACCAGTCTTTATAAATTCTGAAACAAACTCGGAAGGCGTCAGACACCAAAGGAATATATACAGACAACAGAGTATAACCAAATATATTACAATCCTCCATCTATTATAAAAAATCCTCACAACTAACAAAGTGGGTATTACTTGTACAACAAAATAACTGTATTTTTCATTCCTATCAGAGACAAAAAAGCGAAGTATGTATATGAGTGCCGAAGTTCGACGCTATCAAATGGCTGGTATTGCCTTAGGAGAAAGATACTCCTATGACGTCCGACTGCGCAAAGACGACTCACTGGCTTGAAAATGCGTTAGGTATCAGTAGTGTATAATTTCGAATCCGTCACGACCTTATTCAATATCCAATGCCACTGCGACGAGGTAGCACAAATCATTTTATAAATTTTCACTGGCATCTTGAAGTTAAAGTACTGTCTTATGTCTATGATAGCGTTCAATGACCACAGTTCAGCCACTTGATTGAACTATTCTGAGTCAATTTGTTAGTATCCAATATGCATGAGTGAATCCAATAACATACATCTTCAAATGGTCCAAATGGTTGTAGACGGAATAAAAGAAGCTTTCGCTCAACGGACTTCCGTGTTTAGTAGCAGTGGATCATTAATATCTCCAGGCAAGAACCTAGGTATATCAATGATAACAGAGGAAAAAATGAAATTAGTAAATCATAGTAAGATATTATCCTTAGTCCTTAAGAATAGGTCAAGTTTCCTCTTGAAGGACTCCTGGGAAATCTTTGTTACGAGCTCATTTAAACCGATTCATTTCCTGCTGTTTCAGCACAACCCCAGGTCTAAACACTCGACTGTATTATTTTCAGTTAGTTTGGAAGTCACTTTTCGATTTATATATCATATAACTTGTGTAAGTCTTTCTAATGCGATAGCGTTTCATGGGCCGATTGTCTACTCCACATTCATCTATTGGTGCGAGGTACTTTGGAAGCTCGAGTGAATCGTTTGCGTTCCTTATAGATCTCCACACCTTGTTGTCGTTTCAGCAGATGATGGCCAGTCCATTAATCAAAGTCAGGAAGAGGAATGTACCTTGAATTATTCCTTGTTACACTCCTGAGTTCGAGATCGGTCAAGTATTCCAGGTTTGGTCTTTTGAGAAAGAAATCCCACAGGTTCTCAGGTTTCCGTTCGGTCATAAATCTATGAAGACATTTTAGCTTAACCTGTAATTTAACTGCTAGCTTGACCTGGAAATATCTTTTATTAGTTCATACTTTAATGCTGTATCTATCTGTAAATCCCAAGTAAGAGCTACGGTCGCAATCCTTTAAGCAAACTTTCCAGTCGTAAAAGGTTCTCCGTTTCACATGTAGCGAACTTCTATCTTTTGTTCCTGTCGAAATTGTATCTTTCCAAATGTGTTTTCGGCTCGAGTTATGGTATGCAAGATAGCTGCCTGAACAATATCACTCAGTCTCTATGTGGCCATCCATTATTAGACCACATCATCAGCTGAACGCGGTGTGAACTGCGAACTCATAGTACATCACTATAATATAAATCTATTTATTAACCCGCTGGTATATCTGAGCGAATATTCTCTCATTTTCATTGACCTTATTTATTTAATGATCCTAGTTAAGAAGTATCTTGACTGTAAACCAATGTTGTAAATTATTCATCCTACCTGTAAAATGTTTGCATGCCTGATATGTCAGGAGAACATTATCATCATCAATACTGTGTGCTACTGGGCGTGATGAAGATGCTCCCTCATGGCTGTGTACTATGCATTGGTGCGATGAATCTGAGAGGCATCATCTCCCATCTGAAGTGCCTTACTTCTAGACGCATTGAATATGACCTTACAATGACCACTACTAGTCATTGGCGCCTAAGTGTGAATTTCTTCGACTTAAAGCTGGCCATTAGGTAGTAGGTAGTGCAGTTTTGAAGGTTTCTAATGCTTACTCATCTTACTTACATTCAGACATATATCTTTGATGGTTCCAACGAGCTTCTTGTTAGGCTGCTCTCTAGGTAGCAGAGTCTCCACACTAATATTTGAGGATGGTGTGTTGAAATAACATGTCTACAGGTAAGCGATCAAACACTAAGTGTAAATGTGGTGATATCACTTGAAATGTATTTTCCTTTCGTGTATTGTCACCTGTGAGTGGATGGTATATTCTTCCAATCAAGCTCCTGGAGGTATGCGCATTGAGGCACGATTGACAAAACACTAACAGTCCGGCAAGTTTGGTTTTTGGCGGCACTGAGTACTCAAAATAAGCCTAATGTATTTTACTACTCCAACTCTCTCGTTGACCGTTTTATGGATCGATCACTTTCAGTAGAGCTTTAGTCTTACCTAACTCTAATACTAAGATACTGTTTTATCATTAAAGGAGGGAGGGTGGAGTTACTGACCAGCAGGCATTGATGGTGGGGGCGATGACTTCAATCCACCCGTGTTTGTGGGGAAGAACATTTTGTATGTATCAGGCTCTCTATGATTGAGCATAAGTCAATCAATCTGTGATATAAATTGTCTTTCTACGCTCACCACTCAGACTCATGTTTCCAATTTTATACCGGATTAGCTATTCTACTAAGACAACCTATAACATGCTAACTTGGACTTTTACACATGGATTGTGTGGCTGGCATCGGATGGACGAAAAAACGAAAAAAGAGAGAAAAAATCAGACAATAACAGATATAGTTATTAATATTTTCAACACTTTACCCTCCATATGCATACTTCTTCTAATAAACAGCTTTCCCTGTACCAACCTTAACTTCCCTTCCTTCATATGAGCTTACTCCAACTAGTTAAACACCATGATTCATTGTTCTTTAATAATACATCCTCTTAAATGGAGCCTTTGACTTCATTTCACTTTAACAGAAGATAATATGAATTTAATCTAATTTATTATACCTCTGTCTGTTCTGCTACGTAATGTTAAGCAACGTCTGGTGTCCATTTCCAAGTGCCATGGTACTCTGCTGTTTCTCTTTTTTATTTTCTTCAGAATCTTGCTCCGAGGGCACAGCTATGGAAATTCTAACGTCTGGAACAAACTTGACGTATGCGTCAACTCAAGGTCATGGTTTATAACAAGCGCTTGTAGTGTCTGTCATTATGTTAAGCCCATATACCTTATTCTAACTTTCGGACATCTCAATCTATTCATTCTACTTGAGTCATATTTCGACCTTGTAAATTATTCGCTAATCAATCTTGACTGTCTTTGTATGAGCACATGGGCGTGTGTACACTTCATATCACACTGTTCATCACATGTCTGTAATTTATCTTGATGTGCTTATAAATATTGTTAAGTGGGAGTTGGCTTACCAGCCATCTCCACCGCTCGTCAATTTTGCTTCGCTTTCTTCTCTTCGCGTCGTTCTCCCGTTCGTTTGTCTAATCAACAATTATACAAAATAGATGCATTCAAAACTCCATTCTCGTTATTTGACTTATTTAATTCCGTTATTAACTAACGCGATTTAAGTCAATGATTATATACGAGGATAGACGATAGCAACCAATCATTACGATCAAATCGGAGTCAGATCACGGGCCACTAAACGCTCTACGAGACTACTTTATAACAACTATAAACTTAATAAGTTAGGAAGCATGCTGTGTTCCAACAAATGTTGTAATTTGTAGATCATGCCTGTAAAAATGGCATGTACCTGCTCATGAAGAAATATATTATTATTATAACATTATTAACGCTTTTTATTGTACATTTACTGTGTCCGGCACCATTCTTTTCGTTACGTTGTAGCCTCTATGCGTGGGGTAGAGTTCTGTTCGGATAGCGCCTACGTCAAGCAGGTTGCAGTATCTGTCCTACTGTGGTGAACGTGAACACAAGTGGGGACATATGAACACAAAATTGCAGGACATCTTAGTAAAATCTGTGGACCATACAGCAAATACGTAATTCGAAAAATGCTAATCAATTGCCTCGAACTTGATTGTTCCTTTTCGAAAATATCAGTCAATCGCCTCAGACTTCATCGTTCCTTCTTTTCCATACCAAATGCTTCCTGTTCCCGTTCTTTCCTCCCCGGTCTTCTTGACCTTCTGCTGCCAAGCATTTTATTTCTGTTTAGCATTATATACCACTTATGTCGATATAAGTGGCATACATAACACTACTATCGCTTAGTGGAATAAATGCTACTATCCGGTAAACAACCTCCTAAACTTGGACACCAAATAAAACTAAGTAATTTTCTGACATAATCTCTTCTAACGGTCACCCACATTCTCTTCTCACTTATAATTAACAACATATGTACAGCGAACAGGGATTTCGCAGGTGAAGTTCTTGTAATCGCGTTGCGATCCGTTCGAGCTATGATTTGTGGCTGTTCCGGTGCATACCGCACTAGTGTGAGTGAATACCATTGTTTTCAGTGTACATTTTATTTGTTGTTGTATTAGATATGTCTCCGAAGCTTTGTACTCCTCCTTATATTTACTTGAAGTATACAGGTAAGTCAATCGGTCCATCAGTACCGCTCAAATATAATCGGCCATAAGAGACGTCAACTAGTGAGTTGTCAAGTAAACCTCACAATCCCTTGCGTACTACCAGTGGTCTAGCATCCATGGAGCTTGTAACTTATCGACCGGTTAGGACAGTACAAAATACCATCAGCACTAAGTTAGTTTGAGTTTCTTTTCGTCTATTTTTGATCGTTTTACTACTTTATCATTCACTTGGCGAACTTACCATTAATTTAGATACATTACCCGTTGCCTTATTTATGACTGTTATATTCCTACATTTTTATGCCTACTTCCGTGAACATTTGCCCTTCATAATGTTCTTCTAATCTATCATACTTAACTTAGAAACCAACAATTTATATTAAAGCCATCCAAAGCATTGCCTTATCCAAGTCCATGATTTGCAACCCTCTAATAAGCTTGTAAGATAGTACTTAGAAAAATAGTGTTCCCCAACATGATGTAAAAAATAGAGCATTAGATGGAACGTAAAATTCTATCTAAAAAGAAACCTAAGGGGCCTTAACATTGCGAAAGTAGTGAGGGTATATTTACTGAGCAGCAAGCATTGTTTATGAGGGTGATGACATAAACCCACCCGCGTTTGTGGGCCGGAACGCTTTTTTCGGGCCATTTACGATCAAGTACGAGG